CTGTTCCCCCCTACAAGATGTTGTATTGTATCTGTGTTGCTTATTGTGCTGAGTTTTTTTGTAATCTCAGACTATATCCTGTATCCTATAATTTATTTTTAACCTCCTCTTACCCATGTGGATCATTTTGTTGTTTTCCCTCAACTGAAAGGGCAGAGCATTTGACAGCAACAAGGCTTCGGACATCACGTCCCACCATGTATTTTGTCTTTTCTTGGATGGGCTGTACGAGAACAGGAATTTCGCCATACTGCAGTGCTGTTCAAGGCTGGGTGAGAAATTAAGATTGTTTGACTTTGGTGAGCTATTCTACTGGTACAAGTCTCTGTTGTGTCTTTAATTAACCAAAACAGTAGGGGAGATAGTACACACTCATTCTCTGGGGAGCTTGAAAGCACATCTTCAGTATATACGCACACACTTGAATGGTAAACGACTGCCTGAAAACAGTTACATCTGTTAGGTGACACATCTTGAATTACTAATACTTAAGAGGCTGTTTCGCTCGTTAGCAGGAAAGTAGACTAAAATATAAGTGTTGGTGAGGTAGGAGATCAGGGCTCTTCTTGGACTTGGAATCTACTTTTCCTGTACCATAGTAAGAGCATCAGTAATTGTCTCTACCTGATTAGATATAAGTGTAAAAGTCAAGTTTGACTCTTGTGGTAACAATAAAGTGTTTTTTTTTTTTTTTTACAACAGATTCTCTGTTGGTATTACTGGACCAGAATGGGGAGTAAAAACTTTTAGGATACCAATTTTTTTTTTCAAAAAGAAGTATACTGTAGTACCTCCCTTTAAGCAGAAGTGGTGGGTCTGGTTTTAAATTTGCTTATTAAAGGGGAAGAGTTAATGATTTTCTTAAGTGAAAGGAGTGATATCTACAGTACATCTGATTTAAGCAACATTAAGGGCAGACTTCCATCCTTATAAAAAGAAAAGAGAAAATGGAAGAGGTCTTGTTTTTTTAATTTGCAAGGATAATTTTTTTATTATTCTAATGTACATTTATTATTCAAATTTTTCTAATTTGACATATATATCCTTACATTAGCCTCTTGTGTGATGTGGCACGACCAAGGGTGATTTTTTTTCTCATGATTTTGGAGTCAAGTTGACCGTATCAAAGTCTAACACAGAGGCTGTTAGGAAGAACCCACGACAATCCTGCACTAATGAACACTAATGAGTATTGACACCATTGAAATGATTTATACATATAGTAAAAATATCATTGTTTATAAAAAAAAAGTTAAGTGAATCCGAAGTCATATGACTGAAACACAAAAACACATTTGATTTTACAATGAAAAAGACTTGGTTTTTAAAAGTCCTAATTAACTTTATGCCTTATTCACAACAATTCTTTTATTCTGAAAAAAAAAAATCCAGGAACTCTAATTGCAAGCTCTTAGTTTTTCTTCTATTAGCACTCTTCCCACACTCTGGAATTCTACGGAATTCCAGTTCAAGACATTCCCCTCAGGATAGTAATGTTCATCCATATAGCCCTGGATCTCACATGGAGAGAGGGTGTAGTCCCACATATGAACATCTTCCATCATCCCAACAAATGATTGCTTGGTGTCAAAACCACCACCATATGAATCCTGATCC